GTGCCAAAAGCCCTCTTTCCACAGACTCTGTTAATCCCATTGCTTCTCTCTAGACACACTCAGACAGGTCCTCAAATGGAGCTCTCAACCCAAGACTCCAAAATTGGTTGTTGAAAAGAAGGAAATCAGAAAATAGTTTGTTCTGCAAAACTACTGGGATTCCAGAACCAGAAATCATTTAGTGAGCAATTCCTCATGTGGCTACAGGAACTGGCATGGGAGGGGGCCAGGAAGCGCCCAGCACAGGAACCAGGAGTCCTGGGTTCTGGTCACACCACTGGTGCCATGGTGCCCACCTTCTAGGCTTAAAAAAGGATCTACTAATTCTGCGAATGTTGCCCCAGTGCCTAAGATAAAAGCCAGTGCAGGCTGGCTGCTGCCCCGGGGCCAAGCACAAGGGCACCTACAAACATGGAGAGTTGCCCCCATCAGGCCATGTTGCACCAAGCCAACGACATATGGTCCTTGAATGGACACCAGTTCCCACCTGCCCTCATAGATCCCGCCATTTCCTGGCATAGGCTTCCTGGGAGGAACTCTGGCCTGTCCATAAGTGGCCATTGGTGAACCCAACCCAAGGCCAGGATGTTGTCTATGCTCAGATTTCGCCTAAAGGCCCTGTTCAGCCCAGCTCAGCTCAGCCCAGTCCAGCCCAAAGTCCCCCTCCATCCAAATCACACACACTCATGGTTCTCCAGGATGAAACAGCAAATACCCACAGGGCCTTGCAGGTTTCAGCCAGCCTCACACACTGGGGGCCGACAGCCCATTACTTTATTCATGCCATACCCATAGGCACACACATACATACAATCCTCCTTTCATGTCAGCCCCTTTGGGGGGGCTCACCTCCACAGGCCTCATCAATGAAAAGGGGGCAATGACATAGGTCATAAAGGCTTGGGCTAAAGATAAAATCCGAATGTAGGAAAAGCACTGGGCACCAATAGTAGGCACACAATTACAGGTAACTCTAGTCATATTGACAGCTAACTTTCCTCTGGCACTTTCATTACCAAACACTTTCATGCATTGCTTATGAAGTGAACACCCAAATGACAAAACAAGAACAGGGAGAACAGGTATGCTGTCCGCTCTGCACAGACACCAAGACTTGGAAGCGGAGTGACTCACCCGAGATTTCGTGGTACCAGTGGCAGAGCTGAAACTTGGTCTGGTGCTCTACTTAATCCACAACTGTTTCTGGCCTGCCAAACAGTAGGGGTGCACTGCAGTCCACAGAGCATGGCAAGGAGGTGGACAAAGGACCCCAGCTAAGGACAAGGGCCCCCGCCAATCAGGATCTATATAGCAAGTTAGCCCTGCCAGGTCCAAGCTACCTGTGACTGCCAAGTCACTTACAACTCAAGCCAGGTGGGGAACTCAGAAGATGGGGTCATCAGGTGATCCCCCCAGAAGGTTATTCACATCTGTTCACTGAGCGAGCCCATGAGCACCTCCTTTGACAGCCTCTTTGTTATTCTAGGTACTATTGGGGATATTGCAGGGCCCTGGCTGGGTCCTGGAAAGCACAAAATCCATGTGTCACAGATGATGAACATTATTCAGGAGAGACCCTTACTCAGAGCTGAACACTATTGTCTTGGAAATAATTCTAACAAAGCTGATTTGCTTCTTAGTTCTGCTGGAGAAGAGTGCAAATGAGAACTGAATCAAAAGCTGCTTGTTACGCTTCAGCACACAAATGTCCCTTTTGGCTGCTATCAGACAGGGATGCAAGAGGAAAAAGAGCAAACCAGAATTCAAATCGTGCCGACCTCAGGCCACCAGGCACAGAGCAAAGTGCTCTCCCAAGCTCAATAAGCCCAGAAGACAAATGCCATAACCTGATATGCTGACAACAGTAAGAATGCTGGCATTCAGACATTAAATCATGCTTAGTATTCTTTTGTTAACAGAAAAAGGGAAGTAAATATTGCAGAGAGCCTGCCCTTTTGAAGGTAATAGGGATTCTCAGGTGACTGAAAAAAACCTGGATATCAACAATACCTCTCTCCCAAGGGATTTCAGAATCCAAAATTCTGCAACAGAAAACACTCCGCTATAAAACACTGCAAAATTCAAGATTTTCAGTAACTCTTTCCAGGCCCTTTCTTCTTATCACTCTCCCCACCAATCTGGGTTAATAAGGTTTAAATTGGAACCCACCGTGAGCCACAGGTAGAGGCTTACTCCACCCTCCCTTGTGGAGCTGAAGCCAGAAGTGACATCACCCCAGAAGGCTCTGGGCCCAGGCCAGGCAGTTAGTGCCTCCCCCACCCCCACCCACTCTGCCAGGCCCTGGGGAAATGTCTCTACTAGCCCCCATAATTAAGGCAAAAAGGGATTTTATGCCTTTCAGAAAAGAGAAAGAGAGGCAAACTGTGAAGAACTATTCAAGAGAGAAACAAAAGACCCCCCCCACCCCACCCCCCACAGCACAGCAACCTTTTAGACAAACCTGTTCTCATCTCTTGGGAGAGGTTTTGAGCAACCTCCTGCTTCCCGTGCTCATTCAAATTCTGGCACCCAGGAGCTAACTCACTGGTCCCCAGGGGGGTTCTGACCTGCTTCCCACTAGGGCCACAGTGAACCCTGGGAGAGTGCTGGAGCTCTGCCACCTGTGGACGACTCCTTGCATTTTAGGCCATGCCTCTCTGCCTTCCTTCTTTTAGGAAGTGGTCAGAGGAAGGCCCTGGGAAGGCACTTCATGCCCCCACTTTTAATCAAACATGGACACCCACTGTAAGAGGGACAGGACAGGGTTGAGAAAGTTTAGTGTTTTCAGGCTCAACTCAACCACTTCCTCCAGGAGCTCTACCACCACCACAGCTCTAATGAGCCTCCCTCCCTTTCCTCCTGAGACTCAGCTGCCCCCAGGGCCCTGTGCAGCCACACTATATCAAAGTTTCAAGGTGAGAAATAGTACCTCATCCTGCAGCATCTGTCCCTACCCAGCACGAAATCGGGGAAACATGGTACCCAGAGAATCTGAAATCCCATCTGCCTCTTGGTGTTAACGAGTGCTCTTGGGACCCTTCTCACAGGAATGCCAGCCTCCCCGAAGGTGGCAAAGGAACCCCCACCATTCCTCCCGCTCCTAGCCAGAAGCAGGTGGACAGCCCCACGTGGGCAGGTCCCACCTTGGGCCTGGAGGGAGTGGAACAGCCAGGTGACACCAAGTGGGCCAGGGAAGCAAGCCACACCTCACCACTCTCTTCTCCAGAGTATTAACTGTGATTCAAGTTGCAATCTGAGTCCCACAGAAGCCACAACCCTGAAGAATGAGAAGCCAGACCCCAACTTCTTGGACCCAAAAGCCAGGACTACACTAGAGACCCAGCTCAGAAAACCTATCTGACCCCATGACTCTCCAGATATGGCACCCCAACTCATCAGCAATTTAAGAGGCATCAGGGACATGCTCCTGGGCTTCAAAAGGCTTCCAAACCCAACAGTCAGCTGGAGGGGGCACCCCCTCATCTGAGCTAGACCCTTTTAAATATCCCAAAGGTCTCAATACCTGGTAGGTACTATTATTATAGAAGGACCCGCTTTACAGAGCAGTCGCGTTACTGAGAGAAATGTCCAGAAGCCACGTTACAAGTGGAGGACCGGGCTACTCCAACCAGCCTCTTTCCCTGCCCACGTGCCTCCCTTTGCCAGGGCTGGGGAAGTGGGGCCGGCCAGATGTGGTGGCGACACTCCGCCGCTTCCGGAAGGGGGAGAGCCCGTCGCTCCGCACCTCCTCTCCCCATCCCGGGGGAAGGCCCACCCAGCCCGCGGGGAGGATTCCAGCACCAGTGTGCAGGCTGGGGGTGTTCGTGGGCACCCGGCGGCCAGCGCTGACACCTGGCGGCGGCCGCGATCCCAGCCCACAGCAGGGCCGGCGCTATGGGGCGGTTCCCAGGGAAGGGTTACAGGGGCCGAGAACAAAGCGCCCCCGTTGGGGAAGGCGGGCTAGCGGACGGCGGCTGGGGCGGGAGATCACTTTCTGGAGACCCTCGGGATGGTCTTTGTCGGCCAGATTCCTGTTTCGAGGGGACCCACTCCTCGCCAAAGGCAGATGCTGGGGTCCTACCCAAAGGCCTCCCCCCAGGACCGGGCTCCACATCTGTCCCTCTTTCCCCCCGGCTCCACTGCGCGGGCCAAGGGGACCCGCCTTCCCTTCGCGCGGCTCCAGCACAAAGCCAGGCCGGGGGAGGGGAAGAGCCATTCCGGGGTGCACCGGCGTTGAAGCCGCCCGCCCTGGCCGTGCCCAGCACGGGCACGCGCCTCTCCGCGGGGAGCACAACTTCAGCAGCCCAGAAGTTGGGTTCCTGCTGCTGGTCTCCGGCGTCCTGGGACCAACTTCCCGGAACCTCTCGCTGCCAGCTTGGCCCGGGTCCCCTCGGGCAGCCAACGGAAAGCCGGCGGGCCTCACCTCCGCCCGCCCGCGACCCCGGCGCAGTCTTGGCCCCAGCTCCCAGGCCAACGCGCCCTCCGGCTCCCGCGCCGGCGCCGCTGCGCCCAGACTTGACTCCGCCGAAGGGGCCGGACGCCGGGGCTCGCCGGGCTGGCTTAAATTTGGGTCTGCGGGCGGGAGTTGTGGCTGCGGTCACTGCATCCTCTCGGGTCCCCGGCGGGAAGCCTAGCCACAGGGATGCCCGGGGTGACCGGGTGGGAGTCGGCCACCCCGGGCGCTGCCGCAGGATGGAGAGCTCCGACGCAAGTGGAGCAGTTTTACATAATTGAACACGGGGCCCCGGTGCAGGCTTCACTCCGCTGGGCGCACGAGCCCTCCGCCCGGAGCAGCGGAAACTACGCTGCGCCAACCGACGGCGGAGGCAATGGGGGCGGGAGCCCTGGTTTCGGGGTTTGGAGTTCCCAGGCCCGCTGGGCTAGCGCGGGAAGAAGGGAAGACCCCGTTCCCCTCCCCCTCCACGTGTCGCCGCCGGCACAGCGGGTCGGCCAGCCCCAGCTCCCCGCCGCCTCCCCGCCGGGCTCCGGGCCGCACTCACCGGGAGGGCCGGCTGCAGGCGCAGCGCCAGCGCGCAGAGCCAGAGCCAGAGCGCCGCGCGCCTCATGCTGCCCGGACCGGCGGGGAGAGCGTGGGCCGGGGCTGCGCGGGTCTGAGCTGCGCGGGGCTCCGGGCCGGCTCCCTCGGGCAATGTCTACCGCGCGCCTGTCTTCGGCGAGGACTGCGGGCTCCGCCGGCTGCAGTCCGCTCTCCACCGCTGGGCTCCTTTCCGCTCGGCTCAGCTCCTGCCCGCTCCTCTCCAGTGGAGCTCCGCCTTATCATAAACCCACAAGCCTTTTGCCGTTGCAAAAACTAGCCCCCCACACCCAGCTCGCCAGGTCTCGGGTCCAGCCCCAGTTCCCACCCCCTAGAACCCCTCCCCCTGGGCCGCCCACCCGGGCCTCTCGGAACGCCCCACGCCCGTGCCCCGCCCTGTCCCCGCCCCCTCCTGCACCGCGGGGCAGTCTAGCTTTGCTCGCGAGCTGCGGTCCGGGCTGGTGGTCGCTCCCAGCGTTTCAGCTCAGCTGCTCCCGGGTGGCCGGGGCCGGGGTGCTACCCCTTCCGCGCAGGCACAGAGTATTGAGACGCTGTCCTGGGGAGGGTCATGGGGGCAGTAGTTGGTCTACTGTGGGCGCCAGTCTGCAGCGCCCTCTGGGCGTGGACACGGAGCTCACCCCAGGTGCATTGGACTCCCAGATCCGGCGGGATCACTTTCTGGGACTGTGTCGGCGGCTCGGGGGCCCGGAGGTGAGCGGGCCTGAAACCAATCTCTACTCTGCGTCTCGCTTCCTCAGCACAAGTTCCCACCTGCGCTTGCGTTCTGCAGCACTCCATGAGGTGCTGGAAACTTGGGGCCTTAACTTTAAACAGCTGGACGTGTTCAGAAGGAACTGTAAAAAAAAGTTTTCCTCGTGTTTCTGTAGAAGACAAGGCCCTTCACCCTCTGAGCTAAAGTAAAAAATAAGTGGCTTTGCCTCCAGGTGACCTCTGACCTGCAGATCTGAGAAGCACCGCTTGAGGTCCTGCTCCTTCGTGATTCCCTGAGAGGTCCTGGATCCGTGTTTCCATCACCAATCAGGCACGGCAGTGCAAAATGGCTCTGCAAGCCTGCCACATAGGTGTAGGGCGACCTTGAGAGAAAAGAGGAAGAGGAAGCTGGGCCCTATGAGCAATCTGGTAGGCAGGAGCCGCGGTGCCAAATGACCTTCATACCTGGACCCAGAGACCGAAGATGGCATCCTCCTCTTCCATCCTCCCCAGGCATCAGACGACGCTGGCCTCGATTGGCTGGAACTGGGAACCTAAAAGCTCTCCTGAGGTGACTTGGCCTCTCAGGCAGTCTCAGTGTTTTTCTTTAACAGATTAAAAATTCCTGGGTCCTGGGTTATGCAGGCAGGGATAATTGGCTGCAGGCCCCTGGATTCTCCTTCACCCACCCAGCAGGTTTGCCTGGAGCTATACAGCTTCCTGCGTCCCCATCCCAGCCACACTCCACAAGAGCCACCTTCACCTAGTGCTTTCTCAGAACTAAGGAAATAGTCCTCTGAAGTCCCCCAATATACACACTTCTTTTCTCATCACACCGGCCTGAAGTGGGTCCCACACCTTCATGAAGCCATCACTGGCCAGTTGAGTACCAGTGTATGTGTAGATTAACCTGGAGGCTTGGATTTGGGGGTGCCGATGTCAGGGCACTCTTCAAGATGATACAAAACATTTTCCCAAGCAACTTTTTCCCATCATGAAGCACTTTAGAGTTGTTTTATTGTGAACTATTTCAAATATATAATATATATTATACATAAAATACATATATAATAAATATGTAAAAATAAAGCATCATGTTCCTCGAAAACTTAAAAATAGAATATGATCTAGCAATTCCACTTCTGAATACATACCCAAAAGAATTAAAATCAGGGACTCAGATATTTGTACACCCATGTTCATAGCAGCACTTTTCACAATAGCCAAAACGTGTAAGCAGCCCAAGTGTCCGTTGACAGATGAATGAATAAACAAAATATGGTACATACATGCAATGGACTATTATTTAGTCCTAAAAAGAAAGGAAATTCTGATACGTGCTACAACATTGGTGAACCTTGAAGCCTTCAGGCTAAGTGAAACAAGTCGGATGCAAAGAGACAAATACTGTGTAAGTCGACTTATGTGAGGTTCCTACAATAGTCAGACTCACAGAGACAGAAAGTAGAATGGTGGTTGCCAGGGACTGTAAGAGTGGCAATGAGGTATTATTGCTTAATGGATATGGAGTTTTAGTTTGGGAAGATGAAAAAGTTGTGGGAGCTGAATGGTGGTGATTATTGCCAACGATGTGAATGTACTTAATGCCATTGAACTGTACACTTGAGTTAACATGGTAAATATTGTTATGTATATTTTGTAATTTGAAAAATGCCCCAACACCCTCAATTGCAATCCTAAAAAAATAATAATGAACACCTGTGCAAGTACAACCCAGTTTTATCGTATTTTAACATGGTTTTTTTCTTTGTATTTTTTTTATGAAATGAAACAGTGCAGATTTGATTGAGTCTCCTCAGTTTATGTTTTGAAATTATCCATGTTGATACATGTGGTCCTAGGTCATTTGTCTTTATAGCTTTATTATAATTTGCTGCATCTACCATAATTTATCCATGAACATTCAGTTGTTTCCAGTTTTTCAATATTATACACAGTTCTGTTGTCAGTTCTTATACCTTTCTTTCTGAGCACATGTGAGATAGAACTCCAGGGTTATAGGTAAATACATCTTTCTTAGGAGTTGCTCTAAGCAATTTCTCTGAACAAATTGTTCTCCAAAGGGTTTATAGCAATGTACACTTCTGGCTGCAGTTATGAGAGTTCATATTTTTTTACATCCCCTATATGAGTTTGGCATTTATTGGACCTTTTATTTGTTGCCAATCCGATGCCAGTAAAATGATATCTCATTGTTATTTGATATCTCCTATTATGAAACATTTTGCTAAAGCCTTTGTTTGCTGACTGGTTGGGCCAACACTACTGGTTGCTTCCCACATCTATTTCCCCCCCTACTTTTTTATGAAAGATCCCCTAAATTTTAGCTGGGCTCATGGCCACTTGAAAGAAAGACTTATTTTCCCAGCATCTTTCAACTATGTGTAGCCACATGATTAGGTCTTTACCATGAGCAGGGACATGAGCAAAACTGGTGTATGTACCTTCAGGGATATGTCAAAGGGAGGAGGCATTTCTCCTTCCCTTTTCTCTTTCCTCCTGGCTGGCAGGCAGATATAATGGCTGCAGCTGGACCAGTCATCTCAGACATGAACATGACAGAGGAAAAGGTTAGAAGGACTGTGGGCTACTGGCACATGAAAGCCCCAGCATCCTTGGACTGCCCACCTAGACTTACATGATGGAAATTAGACTTCTGCTTTGCTTCAGGGACTGTTACCCCAGATTTGACTTTTTACCTAAAACCTCTGTCCCAAAGTAGAAGGGCAGACAAGAAGGATCTTGTTGGAGCGAGGGAATGTTTCCAGAGTCTGAGGCCCTCTGCTCCCCTCAAGTCCTGGGCTGCTCTCATGGGCTGGCAGGTGGGGCAGGGCCAGATCTCCAGTGGCTCTACAGGAAGCCCCGTCCCCATGCCCACTGTGGGGCTGTGCTTCAGTCCATCATGAGACATGGAGAACTAAAGGCTGTGGGAAGTTTTTGTTTCTTCTAAGCAGCTAACATGTTTGTTCTCGTAGACGCTGAGACATTGAGGATTATGTAACTACCTGTATCTGTCTTCACTTCTGTGCTCAGGTAGTTCCGAAACAGGTGAGTGGGTTATTGCAAGTGGACTGGCCTTGACATCCTGCTTCCCCTCCCATTCTCACCCCCTGCCTCATCTGCCCATTTCTAACATACAGTTGCCCTCACTTTCTGAGTTGCTGCTAATGTTTGTTAGAATGTCAGCAGGGGAGAGAGGGAATAAATCCATCCTTTGTAAGTACATTCAAATCAGAGTATTTACTTCCTGCCCACAGACCCCCTTGGGAGACTGAACTTAACCACCTAATGCTGCCCACCCATCATCACCCTAGGGAGGCCTCCGGATTCTGTCTATGAGGACAAAGGAGGAGGGTGGGATGCAGCTCATTCATTTGATAAACATTTCTAGAGTTGCCCAACTTCAGGAAGCTCCATTCCCAGTACCTTGCAGGTAAACAGTGTCCCTTAGAATTTTGCTCCAGGGATTCACATCCCACAGTCCCCCAGCCTGAATGGTACACTGGCACTGGGCAGTGCTACAGATGACAGCTGCAGGAGCTCCTGCTGGACATGCAGGGATACAAGGTGAATGCACAAGGATCTCAAGGTGGATGGAGGAGGTCGCTGTCTTTGGGAATAAACAGACGTAAACAGTCACGAAACAAAGAAACGTATGCCATGCCAGCCTGTTCACTGGCAACTGGAGGGAACAATTGATTCACAAATACAAAGAAAAGGCTCCAAAAGGTTTCACAGAGAGGGCAGGGCTGGGTCTGGGGGAAGCCATTAGAACCTGTCTTAACATGAAGAAAGAGGATTTGGGCAGCATATTTGTTGCCTGTGGCTGGTGTAACAAATTACTACGATTTTGGTGGCTTGAAATAACACATATTTATTGTTTTACAGTTCTGGAAGCCAGAAGTCCCAGACCAGTTTCACTGGCCAAATTCAAGGTATGGCCAGGCCTGCGCTCCCTCCCGAGATTCCAGGGAGAATCTGTACCTTGCCCTTCCAGCTCCTGGTGGCCGCCAGCATTTCCTGTCTGGAGGCCGCATCCCGCCAATCTGCAGAGCCAGCCTCTCCAAACCTCTCCATTCCCTCTTCAATTGCCTCGTCCTCTGTGTGTAGTAAAATCTCCCTCTGCCTCCCTCCAATTATAAAGACAGGAGTGATTGCATTTAGGGCTCGCCTGGATAACTGAAGACAATCTCCCCATGTCAAAGTGCTGAACTGAATCACACCTGCAATCTGCAGAGACCCCTCTCCCCCACCTTGCCATGTGTCTTGCCAATGGGTTTCAGCCCTGGACAAGTTTGCTATGGATTCAGTGTGACCAAAGAAATTGACAGCAAAATGTTCTTTGGGGTGAAAGGGTTATACCCGACTTTATTTCCAGGTGGCAGGTTGTGGGACCCTGCCTCCATTTTGTGTCCCCCATCTTGAATAACTATGTGCCTCCATTTTGTGTCCTCCATCTTGAAAAACTTAACTTGACCCCCCTGCCTCCATTTTGTGTCCTCCATCTTGAATAACTTAACATAAACCCCTGCCCCCATTTTGTGTCTTCCATTTTGAGTAAAAAGTTTCCTGC